TTGAAACCGATAACTCATACGTTCCGAACAAAGTTATGGCTCAAATTACTGGAATGCCTTCAAAATATAACTCGAATTTTGGGTGAGCAAAGGGAAACGTAAAGGCAATTCAAACCACACGTCCAGAAGGGTTCGCTTCGATACCCCACGTGTGAGGTCTCATTATATGATCGGCCTGTGAACTGCATTACTCACAGTTCATTTAATAGCCAGCGTCTACAATGCGGTTTTTAATGGCTGGATCACAAGCGGGCTCGGCGATTCCACTGATTTTACAACTTTCATTTAATCACTCGACGTTAATATGTTTAATACGAATTATGTCGTAATGTAAAAACAAAAAAGCTCTGTATTTAAAATAAAAACCGCGTAATGCAATGCTCCTCCATAGACACAGCCCGCTGAGTTTCTCGCCGGATCTTCTCAGTGGGTGAGATAGCCTCTCAAGGCTATCAGCTAAGATAGGAAAAAAAAGCAATGCTAAGATATAATTCTACTCTTTTCGCGTTTCAATATTTATGTGAATTTGTTTCGATTTTACGATTTATTTTAAATTTTAACCGTAATTATTTATTTAATGTGATTTACTGCTACCCTAAATGACACATTTATCATCTAATCTATCGTCATGTCAATAGCATAATACTTCAAAGCACCATTAACATACCTCATTGCAAATCTTTGTTTAGAACAACAAATTTCGTTTGTTATTTGTTTATGGAAGAAAACGAATGATTGGGAAAACTGATATTAGTATATTTTGAAATGAACCAACTGTAATGATCTGCACTGTACACGACACGGCCTCAACCAGCCGTCGGCCCTCACAAAAGGACGCTCGTATTTATTTGTCATTTAATTGGACACTCGTAAATGCGGTTGTTTGATTTCCGCGTTTGTTTAATTGTTTGCTTCATTTCGAGGTTCATTGTTCAGTAATTTACGAGAGCTAATATTGTTTTAGTGATGCATGAATATAAAATTGTAAACAATTACCGTTAAAACACTTAAGTAATAATGAAAATACCACTACGATTTTTTTGCCAATTTTTGCTGTGGTTCTGCGTATACCTAACATTCGAGTATAAAATATAACATTATAATATTAGGTTCAAGAAGAACTGGAAATGTACAAGATACTTTGAACTTTGATGTTCGGCAGCATTTCTGCGGTAATATACATATATAGACAACAAAAATTAAAATGTATTTAGAATAATTTTAACCAGTTTCGAAAAAAGCTGGTTATCCCAATGAATATGAGACTTATACTCCAAAATTTACGGTTGCTTTTACAGTAAATTTACCGTTTAATTGTATCTCGCGATGCAAGACAGCGAGTTAATCTTCATCTTTTTTCCCAATGCATTTTCTTGCATTGTCATCTAAATCCGATCTAAGCACCTACTTACCATCAAAATTTTGAATCTTTAGTTAATTTAAATGAAATCAGTTACAAAGTTAAATCGAGTATTAAGGGAAATGCAGTGAATAAAATACAAACAATTGATTTGTAAATTCAAACTTTTTTACATATACCTACCTACTATACGCCACGTATAGGCCATATACGTGTAGATGTGTGAACGTATAATGGAACTGATAAATATGCAAAGCTACCGCATGCGACTAATTAACGCGAGCCAACGATGTGACGTTATGAACCAGGAAATATCTGTTTGATTAACCGTAAACAGGACGTTTACGATTCCGGTACCTATGTCTCACACATGTGTTGGTAATTCAACTTGGACACGTGAAATAGGAGTTTATAATTACAGAGTTATGTGAACACGATCGGGTTCTGTGTGTGTATCAGTTGATACAACACGAAAGTCAAGTAAACAATTTAGAACACACTCAAGCAACTGTAACTAGATTATAAGAATTGATGACTGATATTCGAAACTCATAACTGCCTCAAAATTTTTAATAATAGTTTGGGGAAAGAATCTTTTCGCATGTATGAACTTGTAATAAAATCTCTTTGGCTATACTATTTGTATCTGGCTGGTTTTGATATCATTAAAAGTTTAAATTTTAAAGAAGATAATTCCAAATTCAAATTAGAAAAATGTGTGATTTTTATTTATTTTTCGTACTGTCAAAATGAGTGAATCTAATGAAGAAATTCGATACATTTTAAAATTTTACTACAAAAAAAGTAAAAATGCAACGTAAGCCGCGAAAAAAATTTGCGATGTTTATGGACCTAGTGCAGTATCTGTGAGAATAGCACAAATTTGGTTTAATCGTTTTCAATCCAGAAATTTTGATGTCAAAGATGCACGTCGCTCTGGTCGCCCTATTTCAAATAAAATGGATGCCATTTTTGAAAAAGTGGAGCAAGATCGGCATATCAACAGTTACGACGTAGCTGAAGAACTGGGAATTGACCACAAAGCAGTTTTGGCGCATTTGAAGAAAACTGGGTACACAAAAAAGCTCGATATTTGGGTACCTCACGAGCTCACTGAAAGAAACCTCATGGACCGTGTACGCATTTGTGATTCTTTATTACGACGTAATGAAACCGAACCATTTCTGAAGAAGCTGATAGCTGGTGATGAAAAGTGGATCACGTACGACAAGAACGTGCGAAAAAGGTCATGGTCAAAGGCCGGTTAGGATTCACAGACTGTGGCGAAGCCCGGGTTAACTCGCAACAAGGTGATGCTGTGTGTGTGGTGGGATTGAAAGGGCATTATTCATTATAAGCTAATACCACCAGGCAGGATCATCGATTCTGAACTCTACTGCGAAAATGCGAAGAAACTTTTCCCCAACCTATTATAAATCTCACGGAATGTCTTATTAATAACAAGATTTTGTACGATTTCAAATGATTATCAGAATTAGAAGAGCATAGCTTACAGGCTGGCGATTTGACCGAATGGCGTTCAAAAATGAAATAGCGCTGCTAGGAGTGTTCCTCGTGTTTGCCGCGGATTTGGCGAATCAGCCGGCAAACTTTAATTGAAGGAGAAAGAGGCTTTTACTTCTAGTAGTTACTATGCAAGAAACTCTATGGACGTCGTTTAACAACTCTTTAAAAATTCTAACGCTGAGTGACAGACCATAGATAATAAAAAAAATAATGACAGACAACGCGTAACTGAAACCATAGATTATACACTTAATATTTGAGGCTGAAACCCGTGTGTGAATGAAATACTGCTCAGAAGTTCATTTTACAGTTTATAGGCAGAAAATAGTTTAATTTGATTTACTAAACACAATCACTTGTCATTTCAATAATATCTAATACATATTTCATTAATCTGTGATGTGATATTACGCGACCGGAACTACATAATACCTAATCGTCCCAACATTTTTTCTCGTGTTCATAGATTCCGCTCGGCTATTGATTTACATCTAAAACTATCAGGAAAACTATCAGGAAAACCATAGTTTCTTAGAGTAAGCATGTGGTGAATGGTTTTTCACACACAGCACTAGCAACGGGAGTCATCCCTAAGTAAAAAGACAGGCTGTCAGATTGAGGGATAAAATGCCATGATATAAAATTATGTTCTACGTTTTTTAAAAGGTTCAAAGATAAAAAGCCAATTGATTGTTAATGTATACGATTTTAAGGTGCGTGTGGAATAAATAAGTGCTTCCTATACTGCAGTTTGAGTTCAATCCGCAACGACGACAGTTGACAACATCTTTCTTAAAATGGTGACCCCGATATGAGAAATTAAGACGTCTCGTTGAAGCCATGGACATGTAATAACGCAATATAGAAGCCTGCTTACAATATAGGTACCTATCCACGGAGAACCACAGAAATAAATCGCAAATGTTCATTTCCTTCTTATGCCTGAACACTTTTTCGACAATTTAATTATCAATTCCGCAAGTATTATATGTAGTGAGTTCAATCCGCAACGATGACATTTGACAACATCTTTCCTAAAAGCATATTACTTCTATGCATAGTTTACAAAGTGAACAGACTTTTACCAGCTATCGCATCGGTGCGCTATTGAGTAATAAAACTATATTCTGATCTATACACTTATTTTTCTATTAAACATTAAGTCCCCGACATACCTACATATTCTTTGAATACAGATTATTACATTTTAGTAAAGCCATTGAAATCATCGAAAAAAGCACAGTAATTTTTTTATATTACGTCTGCTAAGATAATGCCCGAATGATTTCTACCGATTACATTCGTTTTTCTGGAATATTTTATGGCGCCTAGTAATCTATTGTATACTAGCTGACCCGGCAGACTTCGTAGTGCCTCAATCGATAAATAAATTGTATAAAATAAATTTAAAACAAACAAAAGGAATCGGTCCGACGGGGGACACATCAAAGGAAAAACAAAATTTTCATTTTTATTTAATTCCGAGCATTTTCATATTTATCTAACTTTTAAACCTTCTCTGGACTTCCACAAAAAATTCAAGACCAAAATTAGCCAAATCGGTTCAGCCGTTCTCGAGTTTTAGCGAGACTAACGAACAGCAATTCATTTTTATATATACCTAAGTAGAGATTATTGATGCTAAAAGTATTTCAGTTTACTACATTACTGCCTTTGTAAGATAAAAATTGGTTGCTATAGAGTCAACAGCAGCTACGACTCGGTTATCATTCAACTTGTTTCAAGTTCTAGTTAATTTAACTTGTTTTAAATTACTACATTTTAACGAGTTCGTGATAGCCTCGGAACTCGCAGGCGGGTTATTTAATCTCTTGAAGATACTATTATCTTAATTATATAAGCCTCTGTATAATTAGTATATTTTAATACTGTATGCCGTTTGTCCGTTTGTGGATTGTGGCCTTGTGCGATTAAAATTAATATGATAAACTATATAAACCATATTTTTAAAAACGGAATCTGGTTGTATTAAAACGCAACAAGTTTACGTTACAAATTCTAACAATACTTGCTTTGTTATCGCAGCTGGTGTTAATAATCGCTAATGCGGTTATGTGGCTCAGATCTTTAGCCTTTTTAGCGTCTCTGAGCGAACGCATTGCAACGCACAACGAGTTGTTATCTCGACGAGCTGGCAACGCCGCGCAGTAGCACGGTCGGAACGAGCTTCGCCTGCTCTCGCGACGTTGTCGCTCCGTCCGACACCGGTCTCGGCGCTCTCGCCCTCGTTGCGCAGTCTCGCTAGAGCGCTTTCTAAATTACAACGTCAATTTCGATATGGAATCGAATTCGAATAGTTCCTGTGATATTGTCTATCCAAAATTAGAAGTCGATTTGGATAATGACATCATAAGTAGAAGAGAAGCGCGGCTCCAGTGGAATTCAGACATGACCATGCAATTGATTCAGACACTGGAAAAGGAATGTCCGGAGTTGTGGGACACAAAACATCCATTGAACAGGGAGCGGTCTGCGCGTCAGTTGAAATTAGAGTACATGGCGGACATTTTCGGGACGACATCGGAAGAGATAAGCAGAAAAATACATAATTTGCGGACGCAATTGAACAATGAACTGCGGAAGATCAAAAAGAGGTCGATCGGGGAAGCTGTCGCCGCCGGAGGGAGCGGTTGGGAGTATTTTGAAGCCCTCTCGTTTCTACGTTCGCCCACTACAGATCCGCTCGACGTAATGGACGCAGTTAATGTCGAGGTACGTCATGTGTCTCGCAACTGGTTCCTTTATAAGTTTATCAGTACCCAATATTCATATTATATTCATTTTATATTCGCGTAACAACATTCTCGACGTCTCATTTCGACCTAAAATAATATAAAAAAAAACCTTTATACGAAAAAATCGATCAGTAAAAAATCGATTTAATTAAATTTTGCTCCGTAGTTTTGTCTAAACTACATTAATGTCACATCGTGTGCATGTCATTAGTAAACAAAGTATATTGTAAAATCGGTCGTATAATAAAGTAGGTAGCTGACGGCTTAGCGATGATTGTAATTTATTTTCATAAAGTAAACTGTGCTTGTTGTAAAATGCAATTTGATGGGCTCATACGAATTTACGAGCGTTGTCTAAATAAATAACTTTTATGGCCATTACAAAGTAGATAATAATATGTTCGTAGCTTCATATAGTTTAAAATTAAACTAATAGATTTAGGGTCAACACTGCCTTTTTAACGAGCTTGGATTGACGTAGGTATCTACTGAAAATCAGTCTTACATTTGGTATTATTTATTTTTATTATTTTTATCTGTTCCTTTTACCTACTTTTCTTTGTCTGGCATACGACCTTACTCATCTGGTCGACAGTGATCACCGCCGCTTATGGACACCAAAATGTCTCTGCCTGCGTACTTATTTGATATTTAATATGGTTAATATTATTGAATACAAAAATGTAGATCAATAGCAATCACTGTTTTCAAAGTATTTCTCAAAGAAGCTAATTATGAATATTTTAAATAAACAACTATGTGATGGTATTTTTAGACCAAAGACCTTGATTTGATTTATTATTAGTAGGTACTAACGAATGATTCTTTTAACTTGAATTTTTTATTTAGGGTATGGATATTTCATATTTTGTTCATTCTCGTATCAACAGTTAGCTGAATTTCAAGCGAAAGAAGAGCAAGAATTCGGAGCCGCCAGAGCGAAGAGTGCGTCAGCAACTACAGTACCAGTAGCTGCCTCTAGTCCGCCCATTAAACCCAAGAATAAGATGAGGGTAGCCGCCTCAGGGCCCCCACCCCTGCCATTGAGCGCGCATCCTTTGATGTGGCAGGAGGACGCAGTGCCGAAACTACGGCCCAGTCTTGACGCTGATGAATGTCAGGTAAGGGTTCCCAGTGAATGCTATGTTCGCTGCACATGAGAATGAGACCACGGGGCTACGACTAACAAAATATTTGAGGGCAATAGGACATCTAACTCACAGCTGGTTACACTGTCGACCCGCCGATGTATCGTAATACGAAATACGAAATCTGTACTATTTAGAATGAATGCGTACATAAGCAGAAACGAAGCTAAGACGTGCGAAGATATGGCGGCTGCAACCGTGATTAACTTTTATAAAAATCATCAGATATTTGGCGACTTCGTAGCTTCAGAACTAAGGACACTGCGTTCGAATGAGTCTCGCAAAAAACTGAAACGGATGATCCAGAAGGCGATCCTTCAGGTCGGTGAGGAGGAGGACGTGAATATAATCACTGGATAGCGGGCGGCCCGCTCCTACGAACGCTTTCTCCTCTCCGGTTGAAGCATGTATGAGCGGTAAACGAATCACATGATCGGTATGGAGCTTCGTTGCGAAGATAACACAGATAAATTTCCTAATCAAAATAAAACAGTATTACGAGAAAACTTCAGATGTGGAATTGGGCTATTGCTGAACTCGTTGTGACAGTACTAACCACGGAAATAGGTTCGAGAGGGTGCGTCTGGGATGCAGGATAATCCATTAATCAATGTAGAATTTTAGACATTAATGTGTATGCTTAATAAAGTAGGATAACACGTGTAGATGCTACTTTCAAATGTTTGTCTGCCTTAATTATATTTAGTATAAAATCAATTCAATAATTCCGTGTAAGTGATATTTAATGGGGCTTTTAGTGAACTGTTTTACTGCCTGTAATAAACTTGTAACCATTAATTATTAATATTCTTCTTTTATTTCATTAATCAAATTATCAACCGGTTAGATCCTTAACAACCTTAACGCCGGCTCTGGGTATATTTGTTCAAGTCACACTTGTGTGCTTCTAACATCGATAGATATTATTGAAAAAAAAACCTAGTTCGAAGTTAACCTATGTGGAACATTAAGGAATTTATTTATTGTCTAAAGATCTATTGTTGTCTAAAGATCTATGAGTTATAAACTTGTTCTCTATTAAAGAACTAAATAAAACTAAGTATGGTAAAAATGAACACTAATGATATAGTTTTCGTTTAAATAATTCTTAATTCCATTAAAATCCACGTATAATTAATTTAATTTATACGCGTAATGACCGTCGTGACCCTCAAAATCCTAATAACTATTCAAAATAAACTCAAAACATACAATATAAATGTTACTGACATTCGTATTGTACACGCATTCAAACAATAGTGCACAGTTGTATAGAAATATAATATTCCACGATTTCAAAATAAAAATAAAAATATGTTTTTTTCTTTTTAATAATATGTTCCAACGTTACTTATAAATAAGTCGAACAAATCCCGAAAACATGTCCAGCATTCTTAAAAAGGTAGCGAGCGCTAAAGCCTTGTTCGGACTAAATTTAGAAATTTAAAAAAATTTAGAAATTTAGAAAAATTTAGTCGAGTATGTTAGAAAATAATTTAGTCAAGTCAATCCATTTTGTTCTATTTTTTTCGGGCGAGTAGCGAGTAGTTTAGCCACTAAATTACTCGGTACTCCACTAAAATACTCAGTCCGAACAAGGCTTAAAGCACACTCGATTATTAGCTGACTTTAAAAAGAATAGATTCTCAGTTCGATTGTGTATCCTAACTTTTTCTAGGTGTTGTGGGACGGTGGGATGGAGTGGGACGGTGGGATGGATGTAATGCTCTGCGTCAATCCTGTCCCGCCGTCTCAATAGCCCCGACTGGGCTCCGGCCCGGTCCGAGGTAGGGCGCCGGTTGTGAGCGGCAGGAGTTTTTAGTGAGGTTCAACTCCCACATACCCCACCTGCCGCGCGGGTGGGGATCCACACCCCCGATTACTCTCTTTAGACAACCCATACCCTGGGCCAGGAAGGTCAAGTACCTGGGCGTTACCCTGGATGCATCGATGACATTCCGCCCGCATATAAAATCAGTCCGTGACCGTGCCGCGTTTATTCTCGGTAGACTCTACCACATGATCTGTAAGCGGAGTAAAATGTCCCTTCGGAACAAGGTGACACTTTACAAAACTTGCATAAGGCCCGTCATGACTTACGCGAGTGTGGTGTTCGCTCACGCGGCCCGCACACACATAGACACCCTCCAATCCCTACAATCCCGCTTTTGCAGGTTAGCTGTCGGGGCTCCGTGGTTCGTGAGGAACGTTGACCTACACGACGACCTGGGCCTCGAATCAATTCGGAAATACATGAAGTCAGCGTCGGAACGATACTTCGATAAGGCTATGCGTCATGATAATCGCCTTATCGTTGCCGCCGCTGACTACTCCCCGAATCCTGATCATGCAGGAGCCAGTCACCGTCGACGCCCTAGACACGTCCTTACGGATCCATCAGATCCAATAACCTTTGCATTAGATGCCTTCAGCTCTAATACTAGGGGCAGGCTTAGGGACCCCGGTAACCGTACTCGTCGAACTCGACAAAGAGGTCGACGTGCAACCTAACCCATGCATCAGCCCGCTGAGTTTCTCGCCGGATCTTCTCAGCGGGTCGCGATTCCGATCCGGTAGTAGATTCATTCGCGAAACAATTGCTCTTGAGTTGTTAGGTCTCCTTCGGAGGTGCTCGGGCAGTTGTTAGCAAATCCCACCCCTCTTGGCTGAGCCTTTGCTCGCCCACCTGTCCTGGTGAAACTGGAAAGGCCTTCGGGCCACCAGTAAACTTTCAATCATAAAAAAAAAAAAGGGGTGGGGATCCGGCGACTTTCTCCTGTGGAAAAAAAAAGGTGTAGGTACCTACCCATGATTTTCTATTTTGGTTATTTGATGATTGTTTTTTTTGCGTTGTTCGCAATAATTCCTTCGACTACATTCATGATATTCAAATACTATTTTTTTGTCAGCAGAATTCGCGCTGTTCACGAAATATGGAATTACGAAAACGACTATTTATGTTTAGTTTAGTGAATCAAAATAATTTATCATTTAGCTTAGGCTGCTGTAAATAAATAAAAATAACATACCGATTAATGTACCATTACAAATGGGTCAGCTTGGTTCTAATGGTTACCTACTTAATAATACAAGCAAGATGTGAATTTACGTATTTAATATAGACAGGCTTACGTGACGAATGTATAGTAACGCCTAAGCAGTTAAGTGAAGGAGTAATCTTGGCATCCATTATTGTCAACCTAGTCTTGAGGTCATGAAAAATGCCAATACACCCTTGAAACAGAACGAAACCCGCCGCCAAAGTATGCCTTTGACTTTTATTGCAATTTCAGAGCGTGTTTTAGTTTAATCACAGCCGCAGCTACTCTTAATAACAAATCCATTTCAACATGTACAAAGACAGGTTTTTTAATGGTGATTTTGTGTTTAAAAAACCTACAGGAATGATATTTACAAATTACGATAGAGTTTCCCTGTTCAAATAAAAGTTATAAAAACGATATAAATATACATACCGAGGGGTGAAAGGTAATTTGTTTTGAGCGATATTTTTGCAACTTTACACCACAGCCATTTAAAGCTTAAAATTTGGAAAAAATATCGTACCATAAAAACTTCTTCAGTTATTTCAATGGAGTAGTTTGTTGAAGTTCAATTAAAAATATCGAACTGTTGATTCTAATAACAATTAAAAGAGACCTTTCATTACAAAGATAAATGCGGCGTATTAGGCGTAATGTCGCTTAAGCCATATAGTCTTTCACCCCTCGATATACATATATAGACAGATGCATAATGGACTATATTTACCCACAGACACAGCCAACTGAGTCGGCGGATCTTCTCTGTGGGTCGCGTTTCCGATCCGGTGGTAGATCCTCCAAGCATTGCTCTTGTTAGGGCCAGTGTTGGCAACACTCCCGATTTGAGCCCCGCGAGCTCACCTACTAGTTCGGTGAATCTAGAATAACCCCTCGAGGTTACTAGAATAGGCAGAAAAAAAGGACTATCTTATTATTAGGCAAGGTATGCACTACGAGTAGTTAACACTCAATCATAATAGGGAAAAATACATTCGCATCGAAAGATGTAAGCGGGCTGGGAGTTGACATGTCCATAGCACAAAAAAGAAATCAACATATGTTTTACGATAGCCATTATTTATTACAAGTACAATATATTAAATTATCTATGAGAGTTCCTTAATTAATTCATTAATAAAGTAAATTTTGATTCTGAAAAGATTTTCAAATTTAATAAATGCGGAGCGTCATTAGTAATCATTGCTTTATTATTTTAATGTGATTAATTAAAAAAAAAATATAAGCTTATTCAAAGGGCTATTGAAATAATTTGGAAATATTTTATCGGACTCAACTGACAAAATCGTACGAGTTTCATCAAAAGGTCATACGCATGACGTCACGACACCCTCTCACACGCGTACCTGCCGCACGAAGCGTTTCAATTAAGCTGTATGTATATATGTACATATACATACCTGCAATTTAATGTACCGTACATACATTAGATGAGGGTCAATAGGTGCTGTATATTTCGTATTACCAACACTAATTGCTTAATATGACGTAAGAGAATGTCAAATCTTTCGGCAAACGATTTTAGGTAAATTGGCAGAATCGTCTCAAAATCAATGTCTAAATATAGAAGCTATATTTATTTATTTATTAAAGCATGTATTAGGTACTTTTTATTAAACGTATTTTATGTACTAAAATTTATAATTTTATATAGGTACATATTTAAATACTTTTTGTATAGCATCTATTTATTCTTAAACTTATCAACCAATGCTACGACTAAGGTCTGCATCACCCTTGGTTGACTGATAGAGAATGCCTTAGGCATAGGAACTGGGCAGAAGGGTGGAGAAAGTCACAGATCTCCGGGCAGCTTTGGTTAATCAATCGTCCCAATTGCATCTACACGATACGTTCGACCTCATACGGAACACCAAACGGTCTCTAAGCTACAAGAGCTAGAGTTGAGAAGTTTTGCGTCATCCATCGTTTTTTTCCTACCTAAGTTGATAGCCTTGAGAGACTATTTCAGCGTAACCTTAACTAGTAGGTGAGCTCACGGGGCTCAAGCCGGAGTGATGCTAACACTGACCTTAGCAAGAGCAGTGCTTCGCAGAATCTACTACCGGATCGGAAACGCGCCCCACTGAGAAGATCCGGCGAGAAACTCAGTGGGCTGTGTCTATGGGTTAATTCGCTCGTCGAGTCCTTCGCCGCAAGCAACGGGTTCGACGAGGACGGTGACCGGTGCTTGTGGTACCTAAAAGCACCGTTAATAGATCGGGAGGATCCGTAATGACGTGTTTTGGGCGACGTCGACATCCACCGTACTTACTTGACCTTGCAACAACAGACTCCTACTTCGTCCAAAAGCTGGACAACTTCATGGCAGGGAGAAAAATCAATACCCGAGAGGTAGACCACAAGCATTTGAAGAGTTTGTTAGCTCACGTTTACCTAATTTCTTTAATAAGGACATTAAAAAATTACATTGATAGAAAAGAACTAATATATACATTGATAGAAAAGAACTAAACTAATTTTTTTTTTACTTTAACTTTCTGTGTAGTAAACTGCAATTTCATAGGTAAAGACCTAATATTATGTTGGTGTCACCACGTTCTGGTGTCTGACTTAGATAATTTAGATTATACTAATGGGAAGCGAAGCGACGCGTTGCTTTATACTTTAGTTCCCTTTTTTTTTGACGTACAAGGGCGGCACTGAAAATTTCGGGAATTAACGAAGTGACACAACGTTACTATTTAAAAATGTATTTATTGCTTTTCGAAGTATTCTCCGT